CCCCCCCCCCCCCCCCCCTACAGAATCCTTATTTACGCCCCCGCTTATTCTTTATCCAATTCTCCTTTTGTCTTTATCTTTATATTATCTTTATCTCTTATTATTTTTATCCAACTCCAATATTCTCTAGTTATCCAATAATCTCATGTCTTCATCTGATATTCTCTTATTCTCTTTATCGAGTATTCTCTTATTCTCTTTATCCAATATTCTCTTATTCTCTTCATCCAATATTTACTTGTTCTATAGAATTTATTCAATATTCTATTAATTGTTTTACTCTTCAGTCTTCCTCCATTATTCTCAATCAATCGACGTGGAAGTTTCATCCTTTGTGAAATTTGTGAAATTGTGGGGAACCCATGTATATATATATTTTTTAAGTGGTAATGTTACATCGTCTATACGCAATATCCCCCCTACTGAACTCCCGAACTTTCCGACCTACTGCAATATCGGACCTACGCCAGCTGTTTATTTTTTTGTATTATTTGAGGGATTCACCGACAAAGGGTCAAACGACAAAGGGTCAAACGACACAGGGTAAAACGACACAGGGTCAAACGACACTGGGTCAAACGACAAAGGGTCAAAAGTGCGACAAATGGGTCAAACGACAAAAGGTCAAAATGATAAAAATATTTTTTGATTTGAATCATAGGAAACTCGCAATTTTAATCACAAAAATCCGCCAAACTTTCTTAAAGATTTAAAACTTTAGTCTGATTCTGGCTTCCATAATGGTCGGGTTGCAAGCGCGTATACAGAAATAAATCTAGGGGGGGCAAGATTTGCGCGAAGCGCAAAAATTTTTTTTGCCCCCCCCCCTAGGAGCTCCTAGGGGGGGGCACAATTCGAACTGTAAATACATAACACTTGGCTTCTTGGATATCAGGCATAAGTAAGATACTTAAAAGGCACACATACAGTCCATATAATTACCTTCTAAGCACTACTTTATCTCTCCTTCAAAAAAAACTAGCAGAAAAAAACATTGTTTCTAAAAAATCGACATTTTATTATACTTTTTTAACCTAACCCTAAATAATAATAAATAAATGGATATAATTGACCATGTGGCCATAGCGCTCGGCCCCCTAGCCTGTCCTAGCCGCTGCGCTCGGGCCAGAAAGTGTCTTACCTAACCTAACCCGTGGCCGCAGCGCTCGGCTCCCGCGCGCCTGTTCTAGGCGCAGCGCTCGGCCCAGAATGTACCTAATTCCTAACCTTAAATAATAATAAAAAATACTAACCGTCAAAATTAAAAAAAAATTTGCCCTTTTGTCGCATTTTTTGACTCTTTGTCGTTTGACCCTGTGTCGTTTGACCCTTTGTCGCGTTTTTGACCCCTTGTCGTTTGAACCTGTGTCGTTTGACCCTGTGTCGTTTGACCCTGGGTCGTTTGACCCTTTGTCGGTGAATCATTCAAGGGTTAGGAATTAGGTTAAGACAATTTCTGGGCCGAGCGCATGCGGCTAGGACAGGCTAGGGGGCCGAGCGCCGCGGCTAGGACAGGCTAGGGGGCCGGGCGCTGCGGCCACATGTCCATATCGCAGCTGTAAAACCACGTGCTAGTAGGTCGGATGTGTTGTATAGCGGATTTGGCGTAGGTCAGAAGTGCAGTATAGCGGATATTTAAGTAATGAGTTTAAAAGTCGTCTTTGAGATCACCAAATTTAATAATAAAACATTAATGAATAGATAAATTCGATACATAATTCGCGTAAATTAGGTTTAATAAATATTTAGCACTATCTATAAGTGTATCGAAATTTATAAACAAAACCAGAAACAACTTGCTTTTCACTATAATTTCACCGAGAATTCATTTAGAGTAATTTTGTTGTTATATCTCTGGAGATAGATAGATATTCTACCAAGTACTCATAGATAGATAGATACAATCCTGGCCGACGACTGGCCGGTACGGACGGCCGGGAATACTAGTCGGGTCGGTTCGGCGGCAGTCCGGCCGAACCTGAGATCAGCTGACGAATCCTAACTGTCGAAAGATAAACATATCAATTGCAAAATGTAGCTGTTGATTTCTGCAGTGAAAAACAAACATGCAGTAATATACATACATCAGTCATTAAAACGTAACATTTTTTAATGATTTTTCGAAGAAAATCTGTAGATTAAATACAAATCTTTTTAGTATCAATTCTAGATTTTCTTTTTCAGACTGCAGTGCAGTGTTTAGGAAAATGTCGTTAACCCTACGTGTCCGGTACCCAGCCGGTCAGGGGGTTCTTAAAGATATAAACCCTACAGACACAATTCAGAAACTTATTACACAGAGGTACATTTTTTAGTTGAATAATGGATAATCCGTATTAAAATTAAGATTTAATCTTGAGGATAGGGGGTGGGGTCAGGGGCGGATACAGGATTTAAGTTCGAGGGGGGCAAGAAAATTTGTTTGACTTAAAAGACTCAAAAAGAGTCACAATTAATGACTAATGACCAAAAAACTAGATTTTTAGCTTCTCACACATTATAGTTTATTAAGACAGATATTTTTCCTGTTTTGTTCTAGGCTTTCTTTCCCTTAAGTATACTATTGAGAAGCCAGTGGCGCAACTAGGGGGGGGGCGAACCGAGTTTCGCCCCCCCCCTCAGCATTTTTCGCCCCCCCCTCGCCCCCCCCTCGACCCTGACACTATTTACTATAATTTTTGTTTTTTGGCGCAGTTTAAACAAATCTGGTCTACTATATTTGAAAAAAAAAAATTTTAATTATTATTAAAACAATTTTCTGTATAAAAATTATTATTATATTTCAACTTTTATATCATGATTCATGGTTAAATCCATAGTTGTGTGACTCAAGCTGTTCAGGGTCAAGGAATACATATATTTGTGTACACACAGTATACCTATACTCTTCGTAATTCAAAGTTCAAACTCAACTCAGTACGAAGCGAGTGCAACAGTGTCCGTGACCGTAGCAAACACTAAACAGAACTAAAAACTAAAAATATTATTTTAATTTATGATGAAATAGTGTAAGTTTTATTCTTTGAAGTTTCATTTGATTGTCAATACATTATTTTTTTTACATTTTCAAGTTCAACTTATTATTTTTTTAAATACAAATACANGGGTTAGGTTAAGTTAAGATACTTTCTGTAAGACCCATGTATAAAATTGATAGGAGGGGGGGATGGGGGGTCCAAAAATCGTTCTCTAGGGCGGACCTGGATAACTTGTTAACCCCCTCCCACCCAATGGAACCTTTCGGAGGCCGCCCTGATCCTTGAAAGCATGTAAAGCGTACTAGGCTTTCGGGTCGAGCTTCGGGAACATCTTCAACTTTAACTTTGGGCCGGATCAGTTCAGCCATTTTGACATTTATTGGATTCAAACAAACAAACAAGCAAAGTAAATATATAACATGCTAGGTTTTCAGGACGCTAGCGCCCATCTTCTATTTTAATTGTGAACATTTTCTCTTAGTATACATTGTAAAACAAATTAACAAAAAAAGTTCACTTATTTTATAAAAAAAAAATCGTGAATTTTGAAAATGTAACGAAAGACAAATTAGTGGTAGCTACTTTTATTAAATTTTTGTCATCCATAGACCTTCCTTGGGGTCATGTGAGGTCCCACACAAAATAGTGATCATATATTTCCCATGTTTCTTGGAGCACCCTGTAGTTTAGTAAATAATAAGTAAAATAACTGATAAGTGATTACTACCTGCAAATTCTAATTTTCTAATCCCTATCGTTGCAACGTAATGTCGTAGACCTTGGATATTTCATGCTATGAATTTTGTTAGATTAAATAGTTGAAATAGTAAAGATTTAAGTCATCAGATAGCAAAGAGATTTTACAAAATTAGATCTTGTGACTAGTTTTCAGTTCCTTTATCCTATTTCATGAAAATAAAAAGTATAATTTTTCACGAATTAATTCATCCTGTTTTTAGTTTTGATGTTTTGGGAATAGAGAACTCAAATAGTGATCACTTAAAGATATTGTCAGGTCAAGTATTTTTGAAAAGCAGCAGAAGTGTACACTTGACAAATTAACACCTCCGATCCCCAATGCCCCCCCCCCAAAAATCGAAAAAAATTTTATTTATATTTAATTGTTTTACAACCAATTCAGAAAAATGGATTATGTAAGGACAAATCCAGATTTTATCATAACAAAATACAGTTTTTTAGAGATCTAGACTGTAAACAGGACTATTAAAAAACGTCCCCCCACCACCACTAAGCCAGCGAATTTTCTAATACAGTCGCCTTCGTTATACATCAATACTATGTAGACGACTTTATATTTAAATTTTAACAGCAGAAACACTTAAACATTGAAACAAAGAGAAGTTGTCAATTAACAGCTTCACTTTGTTTACTTGTAAACTTGGAATTTAAAAATGCTTGTTAGAATTGATATTATTATTAATAAAAGTCGTCTTCATCGTATTGATATAATCGCCGACCACTGTATATTCACGTCTGTATAAAATAAATATAACTTTTCATTGTACAATATTGAATATATTTTGTTTAGGATTTCCCCCCAAACCTCTTGATATATCAGACCGCCAGATATCTATAGGTAATAAAATATCTTAAATTTAAACAAATATTTTTCTTAATTAAAGGAATTGAGTCTTTGTCACATACTTAAATAAATTTTATAATAACTATATCTTTGCAACCTAAATTGTGAAAACCTCTGGCTCGATATTCTAAACCTAGATTATTTAATCCAACAGAATTCAATGTTTTCAAATATCTCACGTCTAAGACATTTGAATGCAAAGATATAGGGATTAAAATATTTAAGTTTGCAGTAAAGACTCAATTCCTGTGAAGATTGGTTTAACTGAAGAATATTAGATTGATATAATTGCAGAATTGATTAAATTAAGAACTACTAGATTTATTATTAAAAACCTTAGATCGAGTAAATTAACATTTGCAAGATTACTTATTTTTTAGAAATACATTTTATTTTTAAATACTAAATAATACCAAAAACACCAATAAAAAATTGATTTGATTGAAAAATATCTAACGTACTTATTTAATAAAAAAAAATAAAAGATTGACACTTAGATAAAAAAAATTTAGCAGATTAATTTGATTAAAGATTGTCAAACTTTTTAATCAGGTTAGTTTTTGGTCTTAGAATATCTAAAATATTTGATTTAATTAAAAGTGAAAAAATTATTAATGTCAGTAAATACGAATGTTGTTAGGAAAACAAAAAGAAAATGAATCTGCGTAAATTTGAAAATTATAATCTAGGTTCTACAGAAATCAAATCCGGAGATACATTAATATATCAGGTACCTAGAGATACATTAATATGTCAGGTACCTAGAGATACATAAATATATTAGGTACCTAGAGATACATAAATATATCAGGTACCTAAAGATACATTAATATATCAGGTACCTAGAGATACATTAATATATCAGGTACCTAGAGGTACATAAATATATCAGGTACCTAGAGATACATTGATATGCCAGGTACCTAGAGATACATTAATATGCCAGGTACCTAGAGATACATGAATATATCAGGTACCTAGAGATACATTAATATCCCAGGTACCTAGAGATACATTAATATATCAGGTACCTAGAGATACATAAATATATCAGGTACCTAGAGATACATTGATATATCATGTACCTAGAGATACATTAATATATCAGGTACTTAGAGATACATTAATATATCAGGTACCTAGAGATACATAAATATATCAGGTACCTAGAGATACATTGATATATCATGTACCTAGAGATACATTAATATATCAGGTACCTAGAGATACATTAATATATCAGGTACCTAGTGATACATTGATATATCAGGTACTTAGAGATACATTAATATATCAGGTACCTAGAGATGCATTAATACATCAGGTACCTAGATATACATATATATATCAGGTACCTAGAGATGCATTAATATGCCAGGTACCTAGAGATACATTAATATATCAGGTACTTAGAGATACATTAATATATCAGGTACCTAGAGATACATAAATATATCAGGTACCTAGAGATACATTGATATATCAGGTACTTAGAGATAATTATTAAAGGGACTGTAATGGTCCTCATTCGCCTGTAAAGAAATTTGGTCAGAGATCAGAACTTTTGAGTGGAATATCTTTAATCTTGAACGCTTGATCTCGATATTCAATGTGTTTACTTTAAAACTGGAGACTAAATGTTTTATCTCTTTGTTCATGTTGTTTCTGCAGGGTATGACCAAAGCAGGATATTAAATTAATCCGTATACCTGAACAAGAAGGAGATTAATGCTTAAACCCAAGATTCAAACAAAAGCTCTGACATCTGGCCGAAATATTTTGGGCACAATATGGCCCGCGGGGTATTATGGAAGTATTGTTAAAATCTAGCTGTTACATTGCTAATGTAATTTAATTAATTAATCTATTTATTTATTTTTGAGTGAGGAAAAACTTTAACTGGGAGGGGGTGGGGGGGTAGGAAGATATGTTTTTATAATTGAGTTGTATTTAAGTTTGATAAACCTGGGATAGGGACAGGAGATACTGTAGTTCAACCGACAAAAGAGAAGGAACCTCAATCCAATGGAATGGTTTTTGGGTAAATTTTTTTCTCCTTCAGTTTCGCTTCTTCGTTGTTTATATATCCTTGTACATTTTGTTAACATCCTAAATATTTTAATTGATTTTTTGGTCACTCTTTGCAGTTCTATAATCATTTCTTTGGAGTTCTTTAATTTCTCATGTTAAAATTTGTTCTTTCCTAACTTTACCGAAATATTTGAATTGTTAATATTGTTTTTTTCCTTTATAGCCTTCGTATAATTATTCAAAATTTATACATTTATGTATTTCTTCACAGTGGTTCTGCATCAGCGGTTGGTGGGACAAAGCATAGTGGGCCAACTCCGGATGAGGGACGTAAACGACTAAAAGCGGACTCAGATGTAGAACTTAAAAGGTATCACTAACATTGTTTAATTCAGCAATAATAACAATATGATGGTATAATGGCTATATGGATACATAATGATAAAACATTGTATTTGATTTTTAGACAAGTTGTGCCAGCCGATAACAGCTGTCTGTTCACTTCCATTAACTTCTGTATGTCCGGGGAGGTAGGTTTAATTATGCCAGGGGAGATAGGATTAATTATGTCCGGGGAGGTAGGTTTAATTATGTCCGGGGAGGTAGGTTTAATTATGTCCGGGGAGATAGGATTAATTATGTCCAGGGAGTTAGGATTAATTATGTCCGGGGAGTTAGGATTAATCATGTCTGGGAGATAGGATTAATATGCCCAGGGAGATAGGATTAATTATGTCCGGGGAGATAGGATTAATCATGTCTGGGGAGATAGGATTAATTATGCCCGGGGAGATAGGATTAATTATGTCTAGGGAGATAGGATTAATTATGTCCGGGAGATAGGATTAATATGTCCAGGGAGATAGGATTAATTATGTCCGGGAGATAGGATTAATTATGTCCAGTTTCAAAATAAAAATTTGGGCTGTCAAATGGACATAAGGGAAAAGAACTCAGATTATGAGATGGAAAAAAGATAATTTGCAAATATTAACAATATCCTTTTTTTTGAGCTTACTTATAGATTTAATAATTTTTTTTTTGCTTATTAAGCTTCAATTATTAATCAATAGAAGCACTTACGTTAACACGTGTAGATTCTAGATGTTCAATTCGAAAAGTTATAATTTCAGAGTAGAAAAACTCTATTGTATTCCGACGCTGACGTTGAACTTTTAAAGGTTGTGAAGAGTGAGCATTCTGTGTTTATGAGAGAGATTATTGCTACAACAGTTGCTGGAGACCCTGAAAAATATTCAGAACCGTTCCTAGGACAAACTAATGAAAGGTCGTCGTCTGAAGGTTCCATATTGGGTTCCATCTCAGATCTTTATTCTTGCATTTCCTATTTTAAACCCTTTATTATTTTTATATATATTTATATTTCTTTCTTGGGATGTATACAGTAACTGATTATTCTGTCACTTGCAGCCATACTCATTATTAATACCTAGAGTAATTACCAAGAAAGAAAAGGATATTAAATTATATTTTCGTTTATATAAGGGTATGCATTCTGTCGAAGAGTAAACTATGTCTTAAAAAATATAAGATTANCAATACTATACAGTATACAGTTAATCCATAATAAACACTCTTCAATATAATAAAAAAAAAAGATTTTTCAATTTTGAGATGAAGTCCAAAACCTACACGAAAAACGAATGGAATGAGTCAAACTATTTCATTTATATTTTTAGAATCACAAACATATGAATTGAATTGCATTTTCTAGTTTCCAAGCTTAAAAGTAAGTTACAAGTAAAAGTAAAACTGTAGCTTAGTAAGACAACATTTTGCAATACTAAAGTGTATTTAATGTTGTTTCAAAGCAAATAGCTTTACTATTAAGATATTAAATCCCAGGTTTTTAAGTGAAATGAGTCTGTTTACACTGCACAATTGCTGTGTATAATGTTCATTGGACTATTAAAAGTCATAACTTGAGTCTTAAAGTCGTCTTCCTAAATTCCAAAGTTTTCCGGTTCTCAATATATAAAAGAAGACTTTTCACAGATGAAACCCAGTGAAACCCATTAAACTGTGAAATAGAAAGACGACTGTTACACTCAAGTTATGACTTTAAATGCTGCTCTCTACAATAAAGACAGTAATACTGGTCAAACAATTTGCTTTTTTAACAACATCAAATGCACATAAAATTTCTCAAATATTAAAATGTTGTCATCCTTTTTCACGGTTTTTTGGTCTCCCCGTAGATCTTGTTGTTTGATTGGTCAAACAAAAATCTGTCCAAAACTTAGTTTTTGACCAAGGTAACAAGGCAAGGAAAGTTAATTGCTGTTGCGTATTCTCTGCTTACATATTGAAACCAGTTCTTTCTGAGCGGTGTTTGTAAACAAGAATAAATGCATCAGTGATTTCTAGTATCCGAGGAAGATAAAAGCATTTATTTTTGATAATTTTGATAATTTTGATAATTTTGATAATTCACATAATAGTTTCCCATGACCAGAATATTTAATTGATTTTTTATGTGAGAATGGATCCCATGTCAGGCTGCGACATCCGTCTTGTGTTAACTTTACCGCCCAGAAACAGTTCACCGCAGTACTAAAAATGCGTAACCTCTGAAATAACACAACATTTTAGAAGTACAAACATAAGAAGAAAACAAACAAATCTGTTTGTTCAGATACTGTGCTTGGATCCAGGGGAAGGATGCTTGGGGTGGAGGAATAGAACTACAGATACTAGCAGGAAACCGGTTCTCTTAGATTCAAACACGTTCCCTTTAAAGGGACAGTGCTGAAAAATATTTTTAACTTAGTCTGCTACAGCCTCAACATTTGATCGTTTTTGATATTTGTTCAAAATATTTTGTGGTAAATGATTTTAAGCTTTGAAACAGCAAAGTCAATATTTTGCTCTTCATTTTTGTACCTTTTTTAAACTGACTTATTTTCAAACCCCACTACGTGGTTGGTTGAGGGAGTATAAATTATTTCTCAGCTTTTCTAAAAATTGTCTCAACGAAAATTTACTCTAATTATTTTAGATTTAAGCACTATTAACGGAAATAAAAAAAAACATTTTTAAAATAAATTTAAATAATTAAAAACATTTTCTTTTTTGTTTATCTTGAACTACCGTGTCCCGTTAGAATACTTCCAAGTTCAGATTGTTGTCGTTGACACCAAGTCAGGTAAACTAGATTTTGAAAAAATTAATTTCTATCAATTTTTTTTTTTTTGAAAATGGATTACGCATGTAACATTCCTTCTAATGGATCATCCTTAATAGGAGTTTAATTTTTAAGTCGTTCTTAAATAAATTCTTGGAAAAAAAGTTTCTCTGAAAAATAAATTTTGAGTTTTCTTGTCAGTATTCAGTGTATCAGTGTATATTTGAGATGTTATATTAGAATAAAAATAAACATTCCTGTTATGAGCTTAACTTCTATATATAACTATTTTGGGATTAGGCTCAGCTTACTGTTTGTAGTCGGAAAATAATTCACAATGTTGCTCCACACAAATTTTTTGAAACTTTGCAATACAATTTTGTATTTTGATAAAGAAATAACATTTATGAAGTCACACGAGTGGTCTAAAAAAAATATCAGAAAATAACATTTTATATGTTAATTTTTTCTTTTACAGGTTGTCTCACCAAGTTTGGAGAAACTGGGAACTTTTCACAGGAAATTTTAAATTAATCTGATTTAAAAGGATTGTTCATGAATTTTAAACTGGGGTAGGGGTAGGAAAAGACACTACAACTGGCTTTGGTTTTGAATATTTTTCCTTTTCAGATTGTAACGCATGGTGCCTATTAAATTATAATTTTTTGAAGATTTGTATCATCGGTCACATTTCGATAAGTCTTTTTCTAAATTTTTTCTGTAAAAATATTGAAAATTAAAATTTACAGATGATGATACTAATCTATGACGGAATCCATTATGATGCTCTCTACCTTCCTTCCTCACAGAGCAAACGATCTGTATTTAATACCTCGGAGAATAGGTTGGTGTAAAATATGTGTACATAACACAAGAAAATACCTTGGAGAATAGGTAGGTGTACAATATGTGTACATAATGCAAGAAAACACCTCGGAGAATAGGTTGGTGTACAATATGTGTACATAATACAAGAAAATACCTTGGAGAATAGGTTGGTGTACAATATGTGTACATAATACAAGAAAATACCTCGGGGAATAGGTAGGTGTACAATATGTGTACATAATGCAAGAAAACACCTCGGAGAGTAGGTTGGTGTACAATATGTGTACATAATACAAGAAAATACCTCGGAGAATAGGTTGGTGTACAATATGTGTACATAATACAAGAAAATACCTCGGAGAATAGGTTGGTGTACAATATGTGTACATAATGCAAGAAAATACCTCGGAGAATAGGTAGGTGTACAATAAGTGTACATAATACAAGAAAATAACTCGGAGAATAGGTAGGTGTACAATATGTGTACATAATGCAAGAGAATAACTTGGAGAATAAGTAGGTGTACAATATGTGTACATAATGCAAGAAAATAACTCGGAGAATAGGTTGGTGTAAAAGATGTGTACATAATGCAAGAAAATAACTCGGAGAATAGGTTGGTGTACAATATGTGTACATAATGCAAGAAAATGGTAGGTGTACACTATGTGTACATAATGCAAGAACAAATGGGTTAAAAGTCATACCACGTCAAATGTTTTCATGCCTAAAATTTATTTTTGATCTAAATACTAGATTTATTTCAGTATTCTTGAGAGTGCTCTGAAACTAGCTGAGAAGGAGAAAATGCTTGATATTATATTTGATCTAAAAATGATATTTATTTTAGTATTCTTGAGAGTACTCTGAAACTAGCAGAGAAGGAAAAAATGCTTGATATTATATTGGATCTAAAAATGATATTTATTTTAGCATTCTTGAGAGTGCTCTGAAACTAGCTGAGAAGGAGAAACTGGCACACAACTACACTGATACTGCGGGGTTCACTCTCAAGTAGGCTTATTAAACAAATTCATGTCTTTTAATTAAATAAAACCGATCTTGGGTTCTTTTTCATCCCATAACCAAAAATTTCAAAACCTCTCAAAGCATTTATGCATGTAGGATGTACAATTCATGGCTTCATGTTGGAAACGTAAACGTTTCAGTTTGTGTCTAGAGTTGAAAACATCTGCAGCAAACCTTTGATCGACCGTGATATGTTTCAGAAAAAAACGTTTGATCCTTGATGAAAAAAAAATTATTTTTTATTTTCATCTATGATTTCCTATTACAAAATATATTAGAATAATTGTACACGTTAATATCCACTATCCAGTTCTTCTCTGGCAGTGGCAAGTTATTCCATGAGGTGTCAAAGATTTTCAGGAATCTAAATCTGTTCCAATTAACTAATCTCCTTGAAATGCTTCCGTTATATTTTCTCAAAGGAACTATAATACCAGAAACTTTGATTTTCTACTTCCTTTATCTTTGCAACCAAATGTCGTAGACTTTAAATATTTAAATGACTCTGTGAAAGGTTTACACCATCAGATTGCAATAACATCCCATCAGTATTCAGCATTGACAGAAAATACACTGAGGCGGGTTAAACAAAAATGATATTTATTAAAATTTATTGATTAAATGTTTGTAATTATTCAGGTGTCTGGTATGCGGTCATAGAATGATGGGAGAAAAAGAGGCTCAATCTCATGCCCAGTCTACCAAGCACACTAATTTCTCAGAAATTTAGGCTTAGTTTGCAGCATCAACATATAATGATGATATTAAAACGCACAAAGATCTTCTTAAGCTTCTGGCAATGTATAAATTGGAATTGGAAAATTTTTTGTGGTGAATTTGAGCACACCTTGAATTCGGACTTATCCTTAAAACATTCCTTTGAGCTGTTGATAATACTGCTGCTTTTTTTATATACTTGGTTGGTTTACTTTCATCTCTCATCCTTTGGATCTCAATTCTTAAAGATTTTGTCTTTGCTAAGTTCTTTTACTTTTGGAAAGATAAACTTCCCAGCAAGTTTTTTGTATACTTATTTTAATCCATTGTACATGATTTAAAATATAAAATGAAAAGGGGGAAAGATAAAAAATGATTTCTGAATAACTGTGTATTTTTATTGAAGAACCCACAGGCGAAAATGTCATTAAAAAATATGGTATTTCAATATTTGCTTATAATCAAAACACCTTTTACTTCTTCAATTAAGCTTTGTTTACCATTCCTACTTATCAATTTGATTATTTTGCAAAAAAAAGGTATGTTAAATTCTAGTTCATTTGTTTACAATTATTCTTTTGGCTTAGAACAAAGAATTTGGATTTGTCAGCCTTTTTTCAATGCTATGACTGAATGTAATAACGATTGAAAAATGTTTTTGATATTACAGATTATCATGTCAAGATACAAGAAAACTGCAAGTATAGGTTAGTGTCATTTTTCAAATATTAATTAACAAAAATTTTGATTTTTTTATGGATACTTATAATGTTTTTAGCCGAAGTTCAGCTATTCGATGAGAACCCTATTTATGAGTAAGTTTTTATCTTAATCATCATATTCATCATAATAATTTAATTAACATTATTATTATTATTATTTTATGATTATTGTTTCAGTGGTAGACCTAGATTAGATGAGCATATAACTAAAGCTGAATCTGCTCAATACAGAGTTCTTCAGGCATTCTTTCATTAAATAATTAATCAATTTATCATGTAATCAATTCATCAATTAAAAATCTTTCGCAATGGATTAATTTGGCAATCTCATTTTTCATTTCTGAGACCTGAGATAAAAAAAAATATTTTACCTTTTTCTCTGAAATATATGTTTTAATTGAATTTGGCCCATTTTAATCAATTTATTTTGAATTGTTTTGATTGATTGTTTATTCAGTACCCGGGGGACTTCCTTTGTAAATTCACAGCTACAGGAGAAGAGGTAAACCTTCACAACTTATTTGAGGACCGAATTTAATGAATTTGAGCTAGGTCAGTGAACTACCTACTGCTGGTTCAAAGTTTAATCATCTATTTAAAGTTAAAGATTTATGAGGATTTGAATCGGTGTAAACAGGTTTGAACCGGCGGTAGGTAGTTAAGCAATCTCTCCAATTCATCAAATTGGGTCCGGAAGATAAAATGGAAACTAATTGTTTAAGCCTGTGTCAGTCTGAAAATATAATCTTCAAACCCCACGCCACTAGTCAGAAGGTTTAGATCAAATTCATAGTTTAAAACATCTGAAGTCTTTGACATAGGTTTGCAAAGATTTAAAAATCAGAGTTTGTTGCAAAAAGACTCAATTTCTTTTTAAAAATTTCTTCTTCTCAATAGCTCTTCAATAAGATAAGTAATGATCGACAACAATTTGGATTTCAATCTTTTGAAAGGAATTAGGTCTTTGCCAAGAACTCTCATATTATAATCCCTATATTTTTTCAACCCAACGGTGCAGACCTTTGATATTACAGACTATAAATTCTGTTGGGAAAATAATTTAAGTTTGAGATATCAAAGGTTTATCCCATCAGGTTGCAAAGATGAAGGGATTAGAAAACTTCAGTTCAATTCCTTTCTTTAATTTGACTTGCATTATGCACTTTTAAAATTTCTATTTTAATGTTTAAAATCTTCTAATGTGGAATATATTTTTAATTGAAACAAATTTTAAAAAACTACCTCACCCCGTAACAGTCATTTTTAAACAAAAACAATCTTTAAAAAAGTTTTTATCTTCTTCAAAATTTAGATCTTACAAAACTTACAGTTTTCCTGTAAAGAATAAGAATAAAGAATCACCTAAATACTGCATTTTGTCCAACTTGATTCGATCAAAATATACCTTTAACAACAATTATATGTTGGTTTACTGATTTATCTTGTCGTCAGATCTAGCTTAGTATGAAATATCTATGTTCTTCGACACCTATCTGCAAAGCTATAGAGATAAGAATACAGGGATGTATATCTTAAAGAAAAATAAATAATATTTTGGAAAATAAGTATCAAAAAGGATGAAAAATCTTGCCTTTTAAAGTCCATTTTTTTCTGAGATCTTTAATTATTCTTAAAAATTCTTAAAAATTTATATATATATATAGTTCCTTTCTTATAGACTCTGAATAATACACGTGGGGTCATAATTTGAATATTCAATATTTAAATTTGATGCTAATAAAGTTCTTAAATTTTATAATTTTATTAACTCAATTTAAAAACTTATTTTCTTTTGACGCAGTTCTCGTATTTAAAGCTCTTAAACAAACTTAAAAATTGGAAAATGAATGAGTGAAACCTAGTTTAAGAAACAAATTGAAAATTAAATTTAAAAGAATTCAGTGTGCTCAGCATCAATTTTCACCTATAGTTTGATTTATTGAGTTTACTTGTATGGTAAGCAAGGGTGGAGTAAGGAATGTGGATACTTTAAAAGTAACTTCACTACAGGGTTAATTAAATTTTCTCATTTTCAAAATCGATCTCGAATTTTATCATGATTTTTCTATATATTATGTCAATTATTTTTTAGGGTTTTTAATCGATGAATTTGGAAAAATGAATGATTTTTATTGGAAAATTAATAAATTTTTGGTTAAAAAGTATTAACAAATTGAAAAATCTTGCCATTTGATGTCAAATGTTTCGTCTTTTTTTCACTCAGATTTTCAAAAATCATTAATTTTCAAATTTTTTAAAAATACACACCCTGGTACATACCAATTACATGTTTATGTACTGAATCTATTAAGAATATTTTAGCTGATGTTCTCTATGCATTACGTACATATTCCAGGTACTGTGCTGTACTGTACATATTCCAGGTACTTTACTGTACTTTTAACATATTCCATGTGCTGTAATGTACATATTACAATTAACAGTTGCTATACTGTACATATTCCAGGTGCTATACTGTACATATTCCAGAATACAAGTGCTGCACCGTACATATCCCAAGTACTGTACTGTACATATTCCAAGTGCTGTAACGTACATATTCCAGGTGCTGTACTGTAAATATTACAGGTGTTGTGCCGTACATATTCCAGGTGCTGTACTGTGTACATTCCAGGTGCTTTACCGTACATATTACAGGTGCTGTACTCTACATATTCCAGGTGCTGTACTGTACATGGTGTGACAAGATAATCAATACTAAGAGTAGTAGAGTCAGTGAACATCTACGAAGTATTAAACATCTGGAGAATAAGGTTAATTTTACATTTAAAAGTTTTTACCTCCTCCTCCGGTTCTTTTATTCTTTCAATTCCCTTTGATTCAAAATAATGCCTTCACTAAAATGTCCGAAAAAAAGAAGGTTTACGACACAAGTATTTTCATTCTTTTTAGTTAGAGCAGGGATGATCTACCACTAAATCTTCTCCTGCTCTAGTATATCTTTAAGATTAGTCGGAGTAGGGAGGATCTACCACTAAATCTTCTCCTGCTCTAGCATATCTTTAAGATTAGTCGGAGCAGGGAGGATCTACCACTATATCTTCTCCTGCTCTAGTATTTCTTTAAGATTAGTCGGAGCAGGGAGGATCTACCACTATATCTTCTCCTTCTCTAGTATATATGTTTAGTTGGAGCAGGGTTGATCTACCACTTTATCTTTTCCTGCTCTAGTATATCTTTATGTTTAGTTGGAGCAGGGTGGATCTACCACTATATCTTCTCCTGCTCTAGTATATATATTTAGTTGGAGCAGGGTGGATCTACCACTTTATCTTCTCCTGCTTTAGTATATATATTTAGTTGGAGCATGGTGGATCTACCACTATATCTTCTCCTGCTCTAGTATATATGTTTAGTTGGAGCAGGGTGGATCTGCCACTATATCTTCTCCTGCTCTAGTATTTCTCTATGTTTAGTTGGAGCAGGGTGGATCTGCCACTATATCTTCTCCTGCTCTAGTATATATATTTAGTTGGAGCAGGGTGGATCTGCCACTATATCTTCTCCTGCTCTAGTATATCTTAATGTTTAGTTGGAGCAGGGTGGATCTACCACTATATCTTGTCCTGCTTTAGTATATATATTTAGTTGGAGCAGGGTGGATCTGCCACTATATCTTCTCCTGCTCTAGTTCCTTTGATTAAACCCACTGAGATGGTTATGTGTGATCTGCCAGGAACAGAACAGAGAGGTTAAACAATATTCTCTTGTTATAAACCAGTCTAGGTTCAGAGGTGTATTCAGGGGAGCTATGGGGGCTCCCCCCCTGGAATATTAAAATTTATGGTTTGAGAGGTTTTTGTGCCCCAATGGGTGGGAGATTTTCAAGAAAACTCTACCAGTTTGGATTAAAAATGACGATTGTTTATATTTATTCATGAACGAACATCTGAAGTTGCTGCCAATTTCATCTCATTCTAACTGATTAGATAGTATAATGCATATAACGTTCTCTTGTTTATTATTGTTAGCATCAAGTTGTTTTTACTGTACTGCATTCTTGGCATGCTTCATCAAAGAGACCATTAGGGTAATTTTGGTCTTATTCATGGTATTTAATTGTATAGATAAAATACCATCAACTAAATAAACAGAAAAATGGGTCAAAGCATGAATACCTCTTTTAACTTTTATCCATAATATGTAATGCATGCATGTAAGAATTTTCCGTGTGTTAACTAATTAGCTTGGAAACCAAGCTTTGCCTGGAGTTCTTCTATAAAAATCACCACCTTCAGTTTGAAATATCCAACCAGACCAAAAACATTCCCGTAGATTTACCCAAATCAAAAATTCAAGCGAATCTTTCAAGGGGGTCATGAGTTATGATTGGCCATCCAAACTAACCATACAGAGATTACTACTTTATATTTATTTAGATGATAAGTCCAGCGTTTGAAATTTTCTATTTTACTTATTACAAATGTGAAGGGGAGAGAGTGCTTGTTAAAAACAGTCGAAAATTAATTGGATTTGTGAGACAGCTTTATTTATAACATGTCAAGTCAGTCAGTTAGTTTTCAGAAATTGAATTAGAAAAATAAAAAGAAAGTTATTAAATGTATAGAATCTAGATAAAGTTATTTAAAAAGAGAAAAATTAAATCTTATTTTATTCCCTGAATTGTTCAAAATAGATTTTTTTTAACGTTTCTTTGTTGAATTTTTGTTTTTTTTTTTGGAAAATTAAATAACATTTGAGGGGAAAGTATCTAGCAGAATAGTAAAAGTTTTATTGAGTTTTTTTTTACATAAGGAAGAAATGAAAGAATGTTAAATATTTTCATTTTATTCTAGGAGTACTTGACCCTCCTATATTGATAGATGAGTATCCGTCAGATCTCGAGGATGATCACCAAACGTCAACTATCAAGTGTAAATACTGTCCAAGGGTAAGCTGGTTAACGTACAACTGTACAACGAAGTATTCCTATCCGTATTAGAATATTATTAGTCTTATTTTGAGTTCTCGTTCAAAATCCGTCAAAAAGTTCAAAAAAGCAAATCAAAAAAATATCAAATAGCAAATTCCAAAAATCTTCATGTAATGTAAGAATAGGGTGTCTAAAGTTAAGGTTTACTGAATATTAGCCAGGACCTCTAATTTACCAAGGGAAGCGAGATACAAGTTGTGGTAAGTTTAAAGATTTAATACAAAGAGGAATACAATAAATATACAACTGGAACTTTATGGAGTAGGAATACAAAGAGATTCTAATTTACCACGGGAAGCAAGATACAAGTTGTAGTAAGTTTAAAGATTTAACACAAAGAGGAATAATATACAACTGGAACTTTATGGAGTAGGAATACAAAGAGATTCTAATTTACCACGGGAAGCAAGATACAAGTTGTAGTAAGTTTAAAGATTTAACACAAAGAGGAATACAAAAAATATACTACTGGAATTTTATGGAGTAGGAATACAAAGAGATTCTAATTTACCAAGGGAAGCGAGATACAAGTTGTAGTAAGTTTAGAGATTTAATACAAAGAGGAATACAAGAAATATACAACTGGAATCTTATGGAGTAGGAATACAAAGAGATTCTAATTTACCAAGGGAAGCGAGATACAAGTTGTAGTAAGTTTAAAGATTTTATACAAAGAGGAATACAATAAATATATAACTGGAACTTTATGGAGTAGGAATACAAAGAGATTCTAATTTACCACGGGAAGCGAGATACAAGTTGTAGTAAGTTAAAAAATTTAATACTAAGAGGAATACAAGAAATATACAACTGGAATTGTATGGAGTAGGAATACAAAGAGATTCATGTGACATTTTATGATAAATAAGAATATATCAAGATAAAGCTAAAGTTGGATGGAGCAGAATTATGCAAAAAATTACTTCTGAAAGTCGGAAATACAAAAATATAAAGCTGACATTTTTTAGAGTAGGAATACAAAGAGATTAATATAAAACTTCATAATGTGGTAAGATTACAAAAAGATTCAGTTGGAATTTAATAAAACTGAAGAGCTGAAACAAGAAAAAGGCTATTGTAGCTTTGAATTTTTTATATGTAAGACTTAACAAAAGTAGAATTAAATATTCAACCCAGATATATTTTAGAACGGCATAGAAAAAATTATTATTATTTTAACAATAATCTTCATATTTTCTTCAATATTTGACCATTATTTAGGTAGAGATTACAAATCCTTTAGAAGCTGTCAATCATGTTGATTCTAAACTGCACGCAGACCACAAACAGAGAATTATTAAAGGAACACACAACAATGTTTTCATAGTTAAAGAGAATGTTCGCGAAAAATGGACGAACCATGATAAAAGTACAAATAAAATGTTTTTATGATTTTTTAGTCATTTTATATTGCAATTTGTCTGGTATACTATTTATTTGAATCTCTAACCGTAACACGTTTATTAACAGTAGTACATAAAGAAGAGTAAAGAAATTAAGTCTTTTCCACAAACTCTGATTTTATTCCTATATCTTTACAACCCAATGTCGTAGGCCTTAGATATTTCAAACTATGAATTCTGATTAGATCAAATAATCTATGTTTGAAATATTAAAGGTTAATACAATCTGATTTGCAAAGACATAGGGGCTAGATAATTTACGTTTGTGGCATTGTATTAATATTTTGCATATGTTCAATCAGAACTTAAAACTATTGAAAAGAACGAAGTATATGTAAACTTCAATGCAACGAATTAAGTTTGTTGCTCTCAAGTTTATGCGTAAAATTAAAACCGGGGGAGCCACGAGGTTACAAAGTTGAACCAGTTATTTTGCATAAATTTGACCTTTTCAATATTTCTATAATTATAATTAAAAAGTTAAAACTTGTTGTTTTGATTAGAAGGTAGAGTTGTTAAAAAACCTCCTCCTCCTTTACTGATACTTGAAGATGAGTAAGTATTTAATACATCTTTTTTTAAATGAATCATTAAAAATTATAAATTTGTATTGTTCTACAGTGAATGTGAAGAAGTAGATTTCTACAAAATCCGTGGAATTTGTGCTCTACTTTCTGATCTACCAATATCTACCACTAGGTATTCTACTTTACTACATATTTCTACAACTAGGTACTTCTATCGACTTATCTACCTCAGATCTACCAATATTTGGCTCTAAAAGGGACTGTAGGCATAATTTCAAGTGACATTTCATGCAAAGAATTCCATACCAGATTCACATCGGTACCCTTTAAACCTATGACGGATAATTTTGTATTTATCTAGATAAAAGTTCGAGAATCAAGCAGGGGCAGATACAGGATTTAAGTGAGGGGTATGGGATAATCTCACTTCTATCTGTTGCGCCTATAAGGAGAAAATTGTTAAAGACGTCTACCTAATAACTTAGCGGCCATACAAATTGAGAAAATTGCAACATACAACGTAGACCGTAAAAAAATCGATTTAATTTCAAACAAATCATTTAGATATTACAACCTATAGTCATCGATTATCTTTCGCCACATTTGTATATAGTTTATATTTTATAATATTTCATTTTTTAGAAAACGTTTTCAACTGATTTCGAAAATTGTTATTGGTGTGCGGCATTCTTAGATAGCTGCGCAAGCGGCAAGAAAAACAAACAAATTAATTTTAAAAAATTATAAAATATAAACTATATACAAATGTGGCGAAGGATAATCGATGACTATAGGTTGTAATATCTGAATGATTTGTTTGAAATTAAATTGATTTTTTCACGGTCTAAGTCGTAAGTTGCAATTTTCTCAATTTGTATGGCCGCTAAGTTATTCGGTATGAGACGTCTTTAACAATTTTCTCCTTATAGACGCAACAGAAGTAAGATAATGAGCGATCAAAAGCGCTTTTTTATCGCATTAAGCCTATACCCCCTTTTATTTTTCGCGAACACTTCCTTTAATTTACTTTTAGTTAAAATCACTTTTTAGAACTGGAGTAACTGATCTGGAATTTATCTGTGCTGATGGGAATCTTTACTTTTATAAGGTACCCTTTAGATTCTGGACTTTCTAGTAAATAATGAGAATATATTTTTTAAAGGTAATAATACAACTTTTTTGGCAGTCGATTCATTAAATATAACTAGCTATAATCTGTGTATTATCTGTTGTTATACCTTTTATGTTTTACCAATCTAAAATCTGCTTATTAGCTAGTACCCAAATAGATTATCAAGTACAATCGGTGGCAACAAAGAAATTGACCAATTATACACGACGTCACAACTGTCAAATATAACATTTGTTGACATGTTTTCTAAGATTAAATAAAAAAGTGTAAAAACAGAAAATAAAGAACACATATTCTTGCACATATTGCACTTGTGAAATAATAGTACAGCTGTATTTTTCATCATATCTTTCATTTTATTATGTGTTATCTATCTTTAATCTTACTATCTCTTATCTATTATCTATCTATAATCTTAGTATTTATCATATATTATCCATCATCTACTATCTATAGTCTTTTTTCCTATAATCGTGTATATCTATCTATTATATTTTATCTATCAGGCTGTGTTAGCTCATTATAGTAGTTTCTTCAAGGCATGCTTTTCACAACCTTCTTATAAAAGGTTAGATAACAAAAATGTTTTGTAATTTTCATCATTATTTTCGCTTAACTTGTTATTGTTATTTCTATTTTTATTGTTACCGTTATTGTTGCTGTTATTGTTAATGATATGTTACTGTTTAAGTTATTGTTATTGTTACTGTTATTGTTATTATTATTGTTGCTGTTATTGTTAATGATACTGTTACTGTTTAAGTTATTGTTATTGTTATTTTTATCGTTGATGTTATTGTTATTGCTATTTTTCACTATTATTACTAAATGATAACTGTAATTTTTGTTATTTAGGGATTTATTTACCGTTTTTCTGCCTGATATTCGAACTAGAGTATTGAAGGGAACACTTCAATATTTGTTGGGCGCTACTGTAGTTTTTAAATCTAGGAAACTAAACATTTATTTATTAATTTGATGTATTTTCTTTAAAAAAACAGTATTGACGTGTTAAAGTGGCCTTGAAGGGTCAAAAATGATTAAACTTCCAGGAGTTTAAAACTGTTAAGTTTATTAAACTTTACAATATCTTCATCTTAAAAAAAATATAAAAAATGTCACAAAACTATTGTTACAAAACCTTCGTTTTAAAATTGTATTTAAATTCCTTTGATTTATAAATAATTTTCTAATTTAGTTATTTTCTTCCTTTCTATGTGTTGTATCTGTATCAATGATATATTTACACTAAAGAGTTATGAAGGGGTGTCATGACAGATAATTATAAAACCTATATCCTTAGAAACAATATTTCTTACAAAAATATTAAACATTTCTGGTGAAAATATAAACTTGGTAGTAGATATTTCTTTTATCAATATCATTTTCTTTAGTCAGGTCCCTCCCTAGCCGATACCTGCTCAGAGTATCTTAAAGGAATGTATATCCAGTTTTTTGACTGAGATTATGGCATACATTTCGACATCGAATAGAGCCAAATTAGGGGTTATATAACGATTATAATCCACTCTATCCAGTTTACCAATACATGATATTAAACCATATCATTATCCACTCTATCCAGTTTACTAATACATGATATTAAACCATATCATTATCCACTCTATCCAGTTTACTAATACATGATATTAAAACACTAACAGTCTTAAATATATTAAGGTTATATAAATGTATGAGTTGTTCAGAAGTGAGATGCATGAATTCCGGGATGCATTTAGTTTGCTAGAATTAGGTAAAAAACTGATTATTGTCTATTGTCCCATGATCCTGATCTAAGAAGTCGGATTTGGGCACTAGCTATATACAGTGAGAACCAGAAAACTCTGGAATAGTAAAATTTTTAATGTCGTATTACTATTTCAAAGTTTTCTGGTTTTCACTATATGATACAGGATTTCAATCGAATTAAGGAAATGTTCTAATTTTACAGCAATGGGAACTGGACATTATTTTTGTGCAATCAATGAAGACTTTTAACGTTTACTATTGTCCTACATTTGTGTGTAAAGGTTCCCAGTCCCCATGTTTTATTAGTTCCACATTTGCTTTAATTTTATTAATTTTAGATTCAGTTTGCACAGCAGACATGCTTCGATTTGAATCTGTTATAGGTTAGTTTATATGTATATATATTTATATTTATTAATTAACTTAAGCTCATCTTTCCCTCTCTTGATCGTTCCAAATATTATTGAAAAGTAATGAAAGTAAGTCTTGAATTTTGATTTTAAAAATCCTTAAGGCAGAACTGAGGATTCGGAAACGCACGATTTAGCCCCCTGGATCCTGGATCCTGGATTCTGATTTGGATCTGAAACCTCTTTTTGTGCGAATCCAGGATCCAGGATCATGGGTCTGATCAGAACTGAAATAAATGATCTATTTGAACTTCTTCTCAAAGTAGTTTTTTTTCATTGCCTTGTCAAATAAAAAAACTTATATTCGAACCACCTTTCTTAGGCTAATAATAATGTTAGAGCTTTAAACCCATTTTAAACATTTGGGTATTTGAAATGATTTTTTATTTCTTTCATCAATAAAATTTTTATCCCAGAAGAAATACGCAGAAAAAAACCTTTATATTACTCAAATTTTTGGAAATACTCGACTTTTATTTTAGGGCCTAGTCCTTTATCCTCTAAGAGCCCTGCTAAGAAGTTGAAAAGACCCGAGGTTAAGTCTCAAACCTACCCTCAACCTCAACCTCAGAAAAGAGTTAAATTAGAAGAAAATCATATCAGCAAGGAACAGTCGAGTCTAACAGGTAAAAGGGAGGGTTAATTTTTTTTATAAATGATCAATATCGGATTTTCTGATAAACTGATAAACTTTGCATAAGAATTTATTCATTTCAAATTCCAAAATGATTTTTCTGTGTTGTTTTGTATACAAAATTGAGGCAGACATAAATTTAAAGTTTTGTTAAAATGGAAAACTTTTCTCAAATTTTGTTTATTTTGAAAAATGTAAACAGGCTATCTAAGATTTAAAACCATTTTCTAGTTTTATCAGAATTTAAAAAAGAATAATTTTATTTTTGTAGATAGTACAGAAGAAGAAGAAGTGGAGGAAATAGAAGCAAACTCTGAAAATGATTGCCAAGGAATGATTCATGAAAGCCTTGACTTAATGCAAGGTTTAGAAGGAGATGTGGATGAGAAGGCTATGGATGAGGATAGGAAGAATATGGATGAGGATGTTGATGGCCTGATTGAGGATGGGGAGGGTCTGGATGATGATGAGGATGATGAGGATTACAATGATTGTGTGGAATACACTGGGGATTCTTTACTAGTTATAGGAGAGGAGGAGGAGGAAAGAAGTATGGTGAAAGAGGAGGGAATAGATGACGATGAGGAGGAGAAGGAGAAAGGAGAAGAAATGGTGCGGAAGGAGGGAGAAGTAGAGAAAAATGAGAAAGGGGAACCGGAGAAGAAGGAAACTAAAATGAATAAAATTAGATCTAAAAATGATAATGATATGATGTAAAATAAGAAACAAAAATAAAGAAGACCAAGGAACTATAGCACTGTGTATTTCCACCTGCCAAACCGGGACCTCCTCATAAGTATCTCTGATTTAAATATGCAGTTTATTTCTGATTTAATAATAAAGCTCAAATGTATATTATGTCAGCTATAGCCGGCCAAACGGCTGGACCGAATGGGCTAAAATTTTTTGAAGGAACCCTTGAACATAGGCAATCAAAAATTGGAAATTTAATTTTCAAAGGGAGTGACCGGCTTTGTAAGTTAGTTGAACTGAGTATGCAGTGTTGTGGAAAACTTCTTTCGGATTCATTTAAGACATATTAAACTTTTTAAAGATCTGTAAATCCTGAGTTTGAGCGCAAATTCTACGTTCAAAAACTCCTACTTTGGGGGTGGTGGATACGTTTTCAGAATTAGTTTTTTTTTTAATATTAAATTTTTAAAACCTAAATTTTCTTTTTCAATAATCGATTTTATTTCAAATTCCACGTGTAACGCCGGGCACTTCAGCTAGTTGTTTCTAGAACTACAAAATGCATTTATTTGAATTTTTTCTTTAAAACTTTTGAATTATTATCTTCTGAATATGTTGAAAATAAATACTTTCAATGTGATTAATATCTTGTTTACATATTTTAAATTCCGATTAACTATGTCATATAGTCATCTCTATTATCTTTTGAATTTGTTGAATATAAATACTATCAAAGTGCTTAATATCTTGTTTAAATATTTAAATTCCAATTAACGATGTCATGCAGTCATCTCTGTTTTTTGTGGCTTTCAAATCAGAAGAGAACCAAAAGATTAAGATAGGGTTTTCACTGTACAGGTACAGTACAGTACAGTAAAGTACAGTAAAGTACAGTACAGTAAAGTACAGTAAAGTACAGTAAAGTACAGTACAGTGTAGTACAGTAAAATACAGTAAAGTACAGTAAAGTACAGTAAAGTACAGTACAGTACAGTACAGTACAGTACAGTACAGTACAGTACAGTACAGTACAGTACAGTACAATACAATACAGTACAGTTTTGAACTGAAATTGCACACATCTTGGCATTTTACTTTGTATATTTTTAAACGACCTCTGAATCAGATAATTACTTTCACTAAAATGTAAATAATCTTAGCAAATGTATGTCCAAGAAAAATGTTTACCAGGATATCTCCCATAGCCATGTTTATAAACAAAATATACTGAGTTTCTGGGAGGAATGTAAACATTGAACACGCTCAGCAATGTTTTTATATCGAAATTTAAGTATATTTTTTTCTACAAATATCTATTTCAATTGCTAATTGATAACCTTTGAACAGGTCTAGACCTACGTATATTCAGATACCGGTGACTGAATATAAAACTAAAAATCATGAAAGATCAATTCAGAACTTTTTATATTCAACGTTATATTTCAATGTCATGACATTAGCTATGCTTTGAGATTAATTCCACGGAGGAAAAGTTAATTCAAGGATAGCTCGATGATATTCTGAGGTCCTGTAGCAAGATGGATTAAGATAACAATGAACATATCTAAGGTTTATTAAAGTAAAAGTGAGTAAGTGTGGCAAGTTGAAAAGCCAATGCGTTGTGACACTTAAAAATTCGACCCAGTCTTTAAAGTTGATGCAACTTTTCATAGCAATTTGAATCTGTGTGATGCAGATCCAAATCCAGCTCATCAATATTTGGATCTGTGTAATGCAGATCCAAATCCAGCTCATTAATATTTGAATCTGTGTGATGCAGATCCAAATCCAGCTCATCAATATTTGTATCTGTGATGCAGATCCAAATCCAGCTCATTAATATTTGGATCTGTGTGATGTAGATCCAAATCCAGCTCATCAATATTTGTATCTGTGTGATGCAGATCCAAATCCAGCTCATTAATATTTGGATCTGTGTGATGCAGATCCAAATCCAGCTCATCAATATATGTTAACTGAATTCTTTCACTAAAAGAAATTCAAGTGGGGGTTACCAATGTTTCTTTCGGTGTTTTGATAGCAAAACTTTTGTTTTATTTCACCACTTGAAACCAGGTTCCTAGAATATGTTGTGAGTTTAGGATTCCTAATTAAAGGTTAGGAATCTATTTGGTTTAAACTTGTTAATCACATTTTTAATGAGTCATAAAAAGTACGAATTCAATGAACCTGAACCTTTCATGGACTGAGAACCCTTTTCAATTATAATTTCCTTCCTGTGGTATGGTGTAGAGATCTATGTGTCGTATGCTAGGAATGTGAAATTACGTATTTAATGAATATGCTCCGACTCTGTAGTCTGCATAGTGGACCTTTATCTGATTTTACACGTTCGAATCCATCGACACACTTCATGCAAACATGCACAAGAGTCAAGGGGACTAGAGATACATGAGTTAAGGGGTCCAGGGATACAAGAGTCAAGGGTACTAGAGATACAGAAGTCAAGGGGTCCAGGGATACATGACTCAAGAGACCAGGGATACATGACTCAAGAGACCAGGGATACATGACTCAAGAGACCAGGAATACATGAGTCAAGGGACCAGGGATACAGGAGCCAAGGGGGACCAGATATAAAGGAGTCAAAGGGGACCAGAGATACAGGAGTCAATGGGACTAGAGATACAGGAGTCAATGGGACTAGAGATACAGGAGTCAAGGGGACTAGAGATACAGAATTCAAGGGGGACCAGGGATACAAGATTCAAGGGGGACCAGAGATACAGGAGTCAAGTGGACCATGGATACAGGAGTCAAGGGGACCATGGATACAGGAGTCAAGGGGGACCAGAGATACAGGAGTCAAGGGGACCATGGATACAGGAGTCAAGGGGACAATGGATACAGGAGTCAAGGGGACCATGGATACAGGAGTCAAGGGGACCAGGGATACAGGAGTCAAAGGAACTAGAGAGACAAGAGTCAGGGGACTAGAGATGCAGGATACAATTGATTTGCTGTTCAGTTTGAATTAATTTTTTTTATAGCTCTGAATGTAAATAGATTTTTGTTATAGCCCTGGATATGAAAAGTTGAAAACTCTGATAAATATTAGCGTCAACATTTACAAATTTTAATTCACAGTGCAGGCCTGTATTTATTATACATAAACAATACTCTTTAGTAAATATGTGTTTGCAGTGGAAAAGGAATTTAAATTAAGAAATTAATGTCTTTAGACGCAATTTATTTTCCAATTGTAGTCGAGGAAGTTATGACGTCATTAAAATATTGTCTATGCGTTGAACAAGAGCTTGGTAATGGATGATACCATGATGAGATGCATTTAACATTAACATTTAACTTTAAACTTTAAATGCCAAGTTAAATGTTTTGTTTTTACAATTGGAGGAAAACACAATTAGAAGGTCTGGATGAGAATAGAAAGGTTTGAAAAGGATAAGAAGGTCTGGAGGAGAATACGAAGGTTTAGAAGTGAATTAGAAGGTTTAGAAGTGAATAGGAAGGTTTAGAAGTGAATAGGAAGGTTTGAAAGAGAATATGAAGGTTTGAAAGAGAATATGATGGTTTAGATTAAGTAGGAAAGTAAGAGAATATAAAAGTTTAGAAGTTTGAAAGAGAATAGGAAGGATTAGAGGTGAATAGGAATGTTTTTGGAGGAAAATAGAAGGGTCTGAAGGGAAAAGAAGGATGATAGGTGAGTTGGAAAGTTTGAATGAGAATAGGAAGGACTGGAAAAGAAGGAAGGGTTAGACAGAAATGAGTCGGAAGGTTTGAAAGAGAATTGGAAGGTCTGGAGGAGAATAGGAAGGATTAAAGGAGAACAAGAACATTTGGAAGTGAATCGGAAGGTTTGAAAGAGAAAAAGAAGGTCTGGGTGAGAACAGGAAGGTTTATAAGTGTACAGGAAGGTTTGCAAGATGTTAGGCGGGTCTAGAGGAGAATAGGAAGGTTTAAAAGGAAATAGGAAGGGTTAGAAGTGAACAGGAAGGTTTATAAATGAATAGGAAATTTTGAAAGATGTTAGGAGGGTATGGAGGAAAATAGGAGGGTTTAGAAGGAAATTGGAAGGATTATAAGTGAATAGGAAAGGTTAAAAGTGAATAGGAAGATTTAAAATATATTAGGAGGCTCTGAAGGAGAATAGGAAGGTTTAGAAGTAAATAGGAAGGATTAGAAGTAAATAGAAAGGGTTAGAAGTAAATAGGAAGCTTTATAAGCTTGAATAGGACGGTTTAGAAGCAAATGTGAAGGGTTAAAAGTAAATAGGAAGGTTAATAAGTGAACAGAAAGGTTTGAGAAAGATTAGGAGGCTCTGGAGGAGAATAGGAAGGTTTATAAGTAAACAGGAAGGTTTGAAAAAAGTTATGAGGCTCTGGAGGAGAATAGGAAGGTACAGAAGGAAATAAGAAGAATTAGAAGTGAATAGAAAGGTTTATAAGTGAACAGGGAGGTTTGAAATAGATCAGGAGGCTCTGAAGGAGAATAGGAAGGTTTGAAATAGGTTAGGAGGCTCTGGAGAAGAATCGGAAGGTTTAAAAGGAAATAGGAAGGATTAAAAGTGAATAGGAAGGTTTACAAGTTAAAGGAAGGTTTGAAGCAGATAAGGAGGCTTTGGAGGAAAATAGGAAGGTTTATAAGTAAATATGAAGGTTTAGAAGGAGATAGGAAGGTTTATAAGAGAACAGGAAGGTTTGAAATAGGTTGGGAGGCTCTGGAAGACAAAAGTAAGGTTTAGAAGTGAAAAGGAAGGTTTATAAGTGAATAGTAAGGTTTATAAGGGAATAGAAAGGTTTGAAATAGATTAGGAGGCTCTGGAGGAGAATAAAGTAAGGTTTAGAAGTGAAAAGGAAGGTTTAGAAGTGAATAGGAAGGGTCAGAAGTAAATAGGAAGGTTTATATGTGAACAGGATGGTTTGAAATAGATTAGGAGGCTCTGGAGGATTAGGAGGTACGTAGATATAGGAACAGTAGATAAATATATAAGTACGTAGATATAGGAACAGTATATAAATGTATAAGTACGTAGATATAGGAACAGTAGATCAATATATAAGTACGTAGATATAGGAACAGTAGATCAATATATAAGTACGTAGATATAGGAACAGTAGATAAACATATAAGTACGTAGATATAGGAACAGTAGATCAATATATAAGTACGTAGATATAGGAACA